ATATATATATATATAGGAAGGTAGGTACAGTTGATTCATATTATTTCTTGTCCAGGGGGGCAAGTGCCCTATCTTGCCCCCTCTCCCAATGGACGCCCATGGTCAAGACATCAATCACGTAAAAGCATTTTAATTTGACAATTTTAACATTTTGACTTGTCGTGACTGGTAAAGGAATATTAATAATATAATATTCGTAAGGACCGTAAGGTATAAAACCAGTAAGTTCTTGAATAAAATATTTAAAATAAAAACTAACACATAATAACTAGGTAAGTAAGACAAAAATTAAGCGGGTTATTTTGGCTATAAAAAATATCTGCAGCAACTGTAGGTAATACCTAACTAAAAACACAGATCGTAAGAATATTTTTAAACATTATACTGCTTACATCATGTAAGTTACATGTTATTTCAGAGGTGGTATAATATTCGTCGGTGAAAATGGTTCAACTGGGAATGAAATATCGTATCTATTTAGCAGTGTGAAAATGTGCTAACTTGACAGTATTTTGAAGATTAAGTTTTATAGCTGATTATGATTTGAACATAGGGTATAAAAAAATTTTAAGAAAATAAGCATTAATATGGAGAAACGATGAAAACATGCAATTATATGCCCTAACCCGAAAATATGCAAAAATATTTCGTATTTAAACTATGAAAAAAACGTTCTTTCCATAGAACCCACCAAGTAAACAGGAGGTAGGTACTGTTAATGGATGGTCTTGTCCCTTCRAGCCAATCAATTCATMTTTTTATTACTATTATTATTCAATTTACTTATTGAGCTTTATGTATACATTGTAGATATAGCTTTTTAAAATAAAAAACATAAAAATGAAAAAAACTACGAAGAAGTCAAAACTAATTTTGGTGAATCGTGAATCCATATTATTTATTTATACACAAATACGCAGTGTAGCAAAAAAAAATATGCAAATGCAACTAATTCATAGCAATGACAAGTCCAGTTTTTAGTGAATATCTACTGCGTGTCCACTCCTCTCTTATAAATTCTCACTAGTAAAAAACCCATTTCCCTTAACTTAGTGACCTATTCAGTCAGTGGCGTTCTAACCGTGGGGGGGGGGTACTATCACCCTAACCCAACATTTAGAATGAATTTTTTATCATGAGAAAACTAAAATGTAGAGCGACGTGTCAACTATAAATAATAAGACAAATACAAATTAGTAGTCCATTAAAACTTACGATATGCTTTGTTATGTTCAAGTGCCAGATCATCAAATATGAAAACATTTAAAAATTAAAGGTCTAAGTATGGCACTGTATTCAGTTACTCCTTTTTACAAACGAAGCAACGGAGCGCTGGATATTTACTTAGAAGTTAGAATATAATATAAGAAGAAGAATCTAAAAAATAATAATTATATAAATATATTATAGTTATTAGAAGGGCTAGTGACTTACAGGAGTTTACATGTATTTGATTTTAGTTCCTGGTTTTGGTATAGTAACAGTTCAAATAAAATCAACCTCRAGGATAGGTTCACATTCTCAAACATTCATTATTAAATTTATATGCCTAAGGTCTAAGAACTTATGGGGAAAAAAAATTAATTAATAACTAAATTATTTAGTAGGTGCCTTACTTTTAAAAATATTGGAAATTAATTACTACAGAAAGTATAAATTGGTGAATTAATAGAGCTAAATGTTCACACATATTTCTGTTGCAAGTTCAGAAATCCTAAAATATATGTTTATTGTATTACTTTTAAAAGTTTTTGACCTAAAAAATATAAATAAAATTACTTTAAATATTGTAATAAGTTATAATATTATAATGGACCAAACCCCCTTAATTTCCAGCATAATAATCCAAGCACGGACTGAGAGAAAATATTTTGGTGGGGTGAGCCAAACATTTTTTTACAACACAATAACATTTTAAACTTTATTCTAAATTTGAATTTTTTCCTAATATTAGTATAATTTTAATGTAATAAAAAATTGTATTGATTATCTATTAAAAAACAAAATTTAATATCCAGGATCTACAGAATTAAAAAAAAAGGAGGAATGATATGTTTGGAGGGGGGCTGGGCCTTTGACTGTCGCTGAGATGATCATAATATGGTTAAGTAGGGTTTAGATTTATAAAAATTTCATATAAATTTCACAGTGTTTTATGGGAATGAGAAGTATAAACAATCTATGTAGAAGAGAATACATAGAAGGTTTATAATGCATAACCTCAATTTTGGTAAATTATTTTATTTTTTCACTGTAGGTTATATCAAATATCAATATCCAGTTGTTAATTTATCAAAGAAAAGAGTAAAAAAGGTGGTATTATACACAATTATTTGTTTTATAGTTAACTATATACATATATAAGTAATTTAGTTGTTTAATTATATTTGTGAATAATTTTTTTTCTTCTAATTTTGTAGGTACTTTAATCAAAACATTTGGAAATGAAAATGTTTTAGAAATATTTTTATTTTCAAATGCCATATGCATATAATTGTTTATTTGATACCTATTTTCTATAATCATTAAAAACAGTTTTTTTCTAAATCTAATAAAAAACTAATGTTTAATTATTCTTTTTTGTTTATATAATTATTTTTCTTGTTATATTAATTTATAGCTATAACATCAATGCATTCATTTCAAAAATTGTACAAAAAGAAAGAAAAATTATTTCAAAAATAGTACAAAAAGAAAGACAAATTATTACATGACAAAGAGTGAATCATTATCTTTTTAAAATTGAAAGTAAAAAATATGAATACAATTTTAAGAAAATGTTGGATATATTTAAAATTAAATTGAATAATCTCATTTAAAAATAGACCTAAGGATGTATCAAATGCATGTCGAGGTCCTCTTAAATACATATTGTTTTAAGTTTCTCRAGTACCTTCAAATCCACAACTTCATTATAAGACTTAATGTAATATAAGTTAATGGCTGAGGACATGTAGCATTTGTAAATTTGTTTTACACAATCACAAAAATAGCAGAGTAAGAAACAATTAACAAAATATGCTAAATCAAATAAGCTAGTTTTGTAATTTTATTTTACATTGAGTTTTTTATTTTACTTTTAGGGCATATTCTTTCATTTTATACTGTTTGATACATATTAGAAATAATTTGGTATAATTAGGTAATACTACAAACAARTCTTACCAAAATTAATTTTGAAATAAAAATAATTACAATTAATTTTTATATCATTATATTATTATGAACATGTTTTTTAGAAGCTTTTAAGATTGGCCTGTTAGATTCATTTTCAATTTATTAATTTTATTTATAATTAGGTAATTGCCAAGGTACAGAAATAAAACCAATTCACTTATACCCAAGATGGCAATAATATATGTTCATATTTTATAAAATACAATGTGTTCCTTAATGATCGACTATGCGTTCTGTTATTTTTGTAGTTTATTCAATAAGTAATTGTTTTATTAAGACAAAAACTTTTTTAATATAAAATTAAATTTTGAATATAATTGTTATTCTTATCTTGGGTATTTTTTAAACTATTATTATTAAATCAATCGCTAGAAAAAAAGTTTAGTACATATTCTAAGTGCATAAGTGCTTCCATATTTAGTTCTTTTTAGAGCAACAATTTATCTACCCTAAATAAAAAACATAACAATTTMGAAAAAATAAAAAWAAATATCACTTAATTCATAAAAACTAATATTTTAATTTAAGACACAACTCTATGTATAAACTAATGATGAAAATAGAACAATATCATTGAGAATGTTTGTAATTTTATAATTATTGTAAATAAATAAACAATGATCATATAATAAATATAAGTATTTATCTTGATAAATTAACAATAATTTTAATGTGATGTAAATTAACAAATTTGATCATTTAAGTCAATAATAGTCTTTATGTGTGACTTCGGAGCACACTTTAAAATGCAACCAAACAAGCTTGGTGATCTTAATATACATTATATATGAATATAATATACATATAATTTGTAATCATAATTAAATTAAATAGATTAAGTAAACTTAATAAGTGTTTGTGTGTAGCATTTGTGTGATCATTAAGGTCAAGCATTTGATTTAAGCTTTGAGGCCAATTTCTTCAACAAGCTTATCGACAATTTCAATATATTTTGTTTTAGCCTCATCATTGCTTATGCCCTTTTTTGAGTTCCATGCTTCCCATTTGGCCTTTGCTTTGAAGTCCAAAAACCCAGGTTTAGCTATGTAAAATAAAAAKAACTGTTACATCAATGCACATAATAYATTGTATTACATAATTATATCCTCTTATTACCAGTATTTACATCACCGACAGTTGCTTGCTTGTAGTAAGCATAGAGCTCCAACAAACTGGTGTCACTGGGAGTATTTTTCAAGTTTTTCACCTTATCAACTGCTTCTTCGAAAGACTGCAAACACAACATATTATAAATGTGCACGTAAGTCAGACATTATGATTCTTGGATTTTAGAGTTGTGTCACACTTATTGACACAAACCATTTCACAAGTGGTTGTGTACACATACTCAAAAACGAGGGCATGATCATTCGCTTTGCAAACGTAATCGGGGTTGGCTTAAGGCCAAGCCGTGTATGCAGTGCATTTTCACTGTACGGAAATTTCAAATGTATAATTAGGAGCGGCATTTCAAGCTTGGATGTTATTATGGAAAATGTCCAAAATGCCTAGGGCCGGCCATGGATGTAAACAATGGCAAATCTATGGTAAAACTTTGGAGATTTAGCAACAGCCGAAAATCAACAGGTAAAAATTGACGCTTGTAAACAAAAGACCTTACAAACACGTTGTTTTTATATTATACATTAATCGATACTATAGTAATATTATGGTTGCAAAATAAAAGAATATTACTACCTATGGTTTAATGCGGTCTATCGTAAATWGTACTTACCATGGTGCGTGTTTCTGAGATCGGATCGAAGTGAGCGATGGCGCGAAAGTGTGCACGTCAGCAAAACGTCGAACGAGGTACAAATCTGTGGAGACTGCGAGAGGACGAGCGAAGAGTTTRAACGTCGGCCAACGAGTGTTGAGTAAACGAGCGAATGTGTGATGACGCGAGTGCGAACGTGTTTGCCGTTTGGACTGTTTAGTGATAACGGGTTGATAACGGTCGCAGTACGATCGGTGGCGGCGGTGGCGGCGGCATCGTGCGGTCGTTTATACAGAGTGAATATCATTATAATATTATTGCGTGTATAATACGTGTACGGGTTATTAAATTTGTGGAGTGGTGGTCGGCGACGCTGTGTTCTGACATTGGAACGAGAAAGGTCACACGCAGACGCTGGTTTGAACTCATTGGTAACAATATTATTTAGGTATTAGATGGTTGACCGGATAGGATGATAATATAATATTTAAACATCAGTAAGTTGCACACACCACGTTCTACGACGTGTGCACGTCGATTTGACATTATTTCAATATCATTTACACAATAATTTTTTGCGATTCGTYCACTTTCATCAATTTACCTGTTGTCGTAGTTTCATCTACACYGAAAAATATAATAAATAATAATACCTACTCGTATATTAATAATTACATACTACTTACTAGGTACCTATATAGATGTTGATGATCATAGATTCTACTTCTATATAGACATATAGTGCAATGTATACCATGGTATATAGAAAGATTTAAGATTTGACATGTTCACCAATATTATTCAAGTACCATATTATTATACATTTTGGACGTGTCATATTTTCGAAAAACATTTGTTTAACTGTTCCGGGAAAAATTAATTAAATCGAAAAACCTCTGAACAATTGGTTGAATAAAATATGAAATTAGGTTTAGGTACCAGTAGAGTATATTATATAATAATGTAAATACCTAACCATATGTTGATCAACAAACAAGATAACTATCTGCCAAATAGGAAATCCGGTGTAAAAATATATAGTTTTAAATCATACCTATTCAATTTTTTTTTAGACCATGGCATGATTTAAATAAATCTAGTTATTCGAGCTTAAATAAAATATGTTGTATACAAATATTTAACTATGAAAAAAATGATATTTTGAATGATACGTTGAATTTTGGACGGTAGGTCGTAGCCTACCACGTAGGTACCACAAGCCAGTAGCGTATACATACGTTTTGTTTAAGGAGTTTGATGAACTGATGAGTAAAGAAAAGTAGAAAAGCCTAACCTTTATTTTAAAATCAATGTCATTAGTACATGAAGGATAATTTTAGGYGAAACTGCTCAGTCAAGTTACGCAGAGACCCAATTTACACCAAGTCTTGAGCTATCAATAATAATCTACATTTAGTATTTTTAGTCAGATCCAATCTACAACATCAACTCTAGACTTCACAATTATCACTTTAATTCTACGGYCTGTATTTATAGGTATTTAAACTATTAATTTAATATTTCATCATTAACTAAATATTTATTTTATGAAACTGAAAATGTTTTAATAATATTGTACTAACAATATAGCCGCAACAAATTGCTTTACTAAGTCACCGCCATTCAAATATTTGAAAAGGAGCTTTAAGCGGTTACGACAGTTACTGGTATATAAAATTATGTAACCATTTATATAAAATCTAAAAAAATTTAAAACTACAATATGGAAAATCGTCATGAATTTGAGTAAAATGAAATCAACCATGAAAAAATAATTAAAAAATTATCCTCATCAATTTTAATTATAACTTATTTAAAACAATCTTGACGTGTTAAATTTAAACATAAAAAAATKGTGTCAATATACATTTTATTAAAATTGCAATATTGTATTTGGGTACCGTTGAATTCTGTTACATCAATATCAAAGTTTAGTATGACCTGTATGGCTGTATAACACGCATAACTCTTATAATAATAATTTTGATTATTGATGAATAAGTATAATATTGACAAAAGGTGTGATTTTTAATATCCTTTATAATTTACATACATGATCGAGTGATTTATACTTCCAATATGAATATTGATAAAACAATATGATATATTGTATTTAAAATGGTGTTATTCTATCGATAATGTATTGATTATACGATCAAAAATCATGTGTTTGATTTAAATGCAGTTTCAAAAATAAACCTGCWTATTAAAATCAGTTGAAATTTATCAGAATATAAGTACAGAATAAGATCAACGACGTTTGTGTAAGTCAGAGTTYCACTTATAGCGGTGTAATGGAGATTCCGTAATCCATCACAGAATAGACCGAAAAAACGAAWACTTTAAGTCTATAAAGTATTAATCCGTGGATGATAGTGTCAATCGTGCAATATTAAAAAATGAAAATGTAGTAAGGTAAGTCTAAACCACATGATCATATTATTAAAAACATTATATTTATTTTATAAATAACATATTTTTTTACGAACTTACATAAATAAAAAATAAATTATTTTATTAGTTTTATTAAAATGATCTATTTATTGATTGTCGGTGAATTAAGTGTCGGACATTGCAAATAATATTATTATCTACAGTTGTATAATATTATAATCATGGTTTCGGTGAACTGAGATATCACAACCTATAATGTTATTGTTTTTTWAAATTTTTATTTCATTACTGTGATGATGCATCACACTACCTATATCTCAGTATTAATAACATTAAAAGGAAAAATCATTAGGTACTATTAAAAGGTTAAGTTTTCTTAATAAAACAAATATGAAAATGCAAATATTAAAATGTCTGCACTAGATTTAAATAATAAATATTAAATAATTTAGTATTGTTGATAAAACGTTGGTATACTTCAGTAAATTGGTAAATATTATTAAAAATGCTTATTTAAAAATAAATAAATTACTAAAATTGAATACGCACATCGTCGAGTATTATTAATCGGGTTTATTCTACTTAGTACTTTGTAATATGTCAATAATACCTTTACCTATAACCATAATAAAATTTAAATCTGAATTAAATAATATTTATTCCACGGCTTGGATTATAATTTAAATTAAAATGTTTTCATAAACTGTTTTGTTTAAATACCTAACTAATAAGTAAAATGTGTACATTGTACCTATTACCTGCGTCCTACGCTTACTTTTTAAAAAATATGCATTTTTTTACGTCAAGTTACAGATAAAAAAAATTGATTAAACTCACCTATAGCCTATAGGCTATATCGCTTTATGTAAACTATACATCTATAAGTTAATTTATAAATTAATGTTAGTATCATCATATTGGGATTAGGTATATTTAATGTTAACGTACTATAATAGTTACCAGCTGATATGGCACTTTGTCAGATATACGCGCTGTATGCGAAAGTATTAAAAAAATAATTAACAAATAAAAACATTAGGTACAGCTGTATATTAGTATTGTTTTATCTATATTTTACGATATATGCGTATATTGAAAATTGGTTATTAATATGGTATATTATTTTGTAAACGTATAAATATTCATWAAATCAATATAATATGAAAGATTGCACAATGGTGAGAAAATCAATTTCTGTATATATTTTTTTAATTATACTACTATGACTACTATAGGGAGTGATTAAATTTGCAATTATTGGTGTTTAGTCAAAAATCGAGAAAGTAGTAGGTATACGTACTGCATACAGTCGGCTACAGATAATAATTGCGAAGCTGTGCGTGAATGGAAATAACTGTATGATTATGATATTGACAGGGCTGGGAAAAAKCCATAAACGGTTGATTATCAAAATCCTAGACTACTATTATATTAAAGATTTCCAAAATCCTATAAAAAGCACACTTCCGAAATATCCAAAAATGTGTTATATTCAACTTTATATTTTT